CGTACGAACGTAGTAGTACGTACTACACACACACATATATATATATATATATATATATATATATATATATATATATATATATATATATATATATATATAACAGACCACCAACAAACACTATGCGGAGATGGCGTAAGTCAGCTTGCAACAGCTGAGTTGGGAAGCGTCCATAGTGTGGTTTAAGTGGGTGATACGCCATGCGTGGACTTCAGAAGGAAGTCATCGCCCAATATATCACGCAGACTAATACGCCGTACACACCCAGGGATGGCTCCAGACAGTCCGCAATAAGACTTAAAGCACAAGATAACAGCCCACGAGAGAGGCATGGAGAGTGTCACGTACACCACCGCTTACTGAAAACACGCCATCCGTTGCGCACAGATGGTAACAACCCCTCATTGGCAGGAATCACGACTCTTTGTGAAATTCACACTCCCATTGACATGTATCATTCACCTACTAACAAACAACACAAACCCTTTGACGGATATCACACACTCTTTGGCAGCCATAATCTTTGTTGTAGGCCATCACACCCTTTGGCAACACTTGCAGTCTATGCGAATGTGAACTTACGAGAATACTATTGCCCACCACAGGATCCATATCTGAGTATAGCCAAACTCCGCTCCAGATGAGATCGACGCGTACATGTTGCCTGTGCAAACCCAAACGGATACAATGCTGATGGTGTCAATAACCGATGCAGACCAAGTACACCGTGGCCACAGCGCATGGAAGGTGTTTATACAATACGCGGATGTGTAATGTATGATGAATAGACTTGTATGTGAAAACGTTTGAAACACAAGCCCTAGACAATGCCTTCACCCCATGTTGCGGTCGAGTGTTCGTGTCAAGCTTTGCGAGAGGTGCTCAATTGCGCCTGATATTAAAAAGAAGTAGTAGGTCGCGAGGAGTCATACTGTTACAATACATAACAGATACGTACACCACCTGGTAGCCCACGTATATCGAGAGTACAAACCAATCAGACCCATTAATTGGCACTGTGTTTGTAGGTACGCTATATCGTATAGGCTTTCCAGTCCTTCTTGGCGGCAAATGCATACGAAGAAATGTAAAGATGTAGCACGTGATTTTGACATTGACCATTCAAGCACACGTCTGTAGGTTGGGAAGAACTTTCCTTTTATTATATGGAAGGCGAGGCGTACGGTCCAGACTACGACACATACGCCTCCCTCGGTTTATATTATGTGTTTTGGCTGTATGGGAGGAGTGAATCAAGTAATATGTGTGCAACCTTCCAGGGATCTGGTCTAAGTATGACAGTCTAGGCCACTCCGCCGAACCAAATCTGCTGAGGCGGAATGTACCACGGCCTACATATAATAGCCAGGCATGCGGTGATTCGTAGATATGCATATACCTGGATCACTTGATGCGACACAAACAAAAGCGACGGCTAGTATGACACCTAGTTCCACCAATGGGCCACACAACTGACCCACCAAGTGCGGTATAGTTCCTACCTAATTCACTGAGACGATGCGAACTATCGATTTCTTCACTGTGCACATGTAAAACCATAAAACATACATTGATCTCTTTATACGACAATGTCGCAATACGTAGAATAGTCCATACTGGGATCATTGTACGCAACACGAAACTAGCGATTCCACAACAGTACGAGTAAAACATACATTAATTACTTGGTACAATATAAGCTGGCGATACGCAATACAGTTTATAGATGGATCACTGTACGCGACACAAACTAGTGAAACATAGCATAGCTCATGCACGGACCACTTTGTACGACACAAACCAGCAATACGTTATATGCTTTATACCTAGATCACTGCACGCGACACAAACTAGCGAAACATAGCAAAGCTCATGCACGGATCACTTTGTACGACACAAACCAGCAATACGTTATGTGCTATATACCTGGATCACTGTACGCGACGCAAACTAGCCACCCCGGTCCCATAAACTTCAGAAACTCCCGCCATTTCTGCTGGGGCGTGCGAGATTCGCTCGTGTTTTGGCTATCCGCTTGAGCGTGAACTTCTTTCAATCCGCACGAGCATGGTTTTTCTGTGTAGTAAGTATCAGCCAGTCTGGTACATTAGGCGAGTATTCGTTATCAAACTGACGGGGTCATAGTTCTGTTCACACCAAAAGTCGGTCCAGATATTGATTAAAAGCATGAGAAACAGATTGCACTAACTATGAGTATAGATATGGCCCATCTCTAAAAAGGCAAGACGATGTGAACCGATATCAAAGAAGAACACATTACTTCCAACACTGTTTACCCGGATTTTGCTAAGCAATACCATATAGTACGTGGGGTCCCCTGAACCCCCCAAATGGTATAAATGTATTCCATTTCGTCTTATACGAAATGGTCCCACAGTGTCCACTACAACCTATGACCTATAAACGTAAACAGGCGAATAAATAGCTCCTCAGGTATTCCGACTATTCTCTCACCTAACACCATGTACTGTACTAGCTCAGATGCACGTGGCAAGACACAAGTCGCGATATACAGACGAACAGGCCCAAAAAGGAAGAAATATGTGAAGTTACGAGCAGTACGAATGCACTAGTAATGAAGTCGTAAAACAAATACGCACCCACAACATATGTTCTGAACATCATGCAAAATTCATATTCAAATTCTCAACAAACTTCTATACCGAAATATGTACTCGTCCCGAACAGCGTGTGGTTAAAGGGTGAGTTCGGACAGTCCAGATTGATATACAAATCAAAGTGAGAAGAAAAAAAGAAACAACTTGAGCATCTCAATAAAACCAGACAGGTGTACGGTGAAACACTATCAGCGAATGTAGCGATCGCTGGACAATGAACGCGTTCAATAACATAGACTTCGGGCAATTCAAGTATATGAGAGACAATTCCTCCTACTTTATGTGTCCGAGCGGTATGAAGGAATACTCCAAAGTGCAAATAAAATCAGAAATAATATTTCTGTCCACGTTCGTTACAGCTTTAAATATAAACACATCTACAAACACACAAGTGAACATTGTACACACACACACACACATATATATATATATCAGTCAACTAAATATTTCAGCATACATATATATATATATATATATTCTATATATATCACATAATTATATATACAGATGAATATATATATGTATGTATATATTATAAATGTATATATATATATATATATATATGTATATACATATATTTTTATATAAATATACATATATATAAATATGTATATACATACAGAAATACAGACATACGTAGAAACACACACACACACACACATATATATATATATATATATATATATATATAGTATACTTAC